CCATGACTACAACGCCAGTGCTCGCCATGCCAAGGTTTGATGTCTTGTTTGAGGTACACACCGATGCGAGTGACATTGGGATCGGAGCTGTGTTAGTGCAAGAAGGGCGACTCTTAGCTTATCTCAGCAAGGCACTAGGCACTACATGACTGGGTCTATCTGTGTACGTGAAGGAGATGCTAGCAGTTGTAGAGGCTGTAAGGTGCTGGAGGCTTTATCTATTAGGCCGACGCTTTCGGATTGTGACCGATCAGCAGCCACTCAAGCATCTACTCGAGCGAAGGATTGTTACCCCCGAGCAGCAGAAGTTCGTTTCCAAACTAATGGGGTTTGATTTTGAGATAGTCTACCGGCCTGGTCGACAGAATGCAGTAGCTAATGCACTATCCAGATGGACTGATGTAACCAAGCTGAATGCTATCACTGGACCGGCTTAGACTATTTGGGAAGAAGTCAGGAAGGCGCAAGAGGAGGACGCTTATTGCCAGGAGTTGTGCCAAGCGATAGAAGCAGGTAAGACAACTGCTATTGACTATGAGTTGCACAATGGTCTGCTTCTACACCGAGGTCGAGTATTTGTTCCCGACAGTGGCCAGTTACGCGAGCAGGTCTTATAGCACTTCCACAATTCTAAGATTGGAGGCCACTCGGGTATCTATCGCACATGGATGAGAATAGCCAATACGTTCTTTTGGCCGAGACAGCAGAATACGGTTTGTGACTACATCGCACGATGCAACAACTGTCAACGCACGAAGGCTAACTCACGATGGCTGAGCGGACTGCTAAAACCTCTACCGGTACCCGAGGCTATCTGGGAAGACATTACCATGGACTTCATAGAAGGGTTACCGAGTTCCAATGGGTTCAATGGTGTTATGGTCGTGGTAGATCGACTCACGAAGTATGTTCACTTCATACCCATCACTCATCCTTACACCGCAAAGTCGATTGCCAGGTTATTTGTGGAGTATATGATGAAGCTGCATGGAGCACCATGATCTATCGTTTCTGATCGAGACCGGATTTTTATGAGCAACTTTTGGTCCGAATTCTTTAAGCAGCAAGGGACCAAGTTATCTATGAGCTCAGCCTACCACCCACAGACAGACGGACAAACTGAGGTGACCAACCGAACTCTTGAGCAGTACTTAAGGTGCTATGTCCATCAATTTCTGAAGAGGTGGGAAAACTTTTTGCCTTGGGCTGAGTATTGGTACAACACCAGTTACCATGAGTCGACCAAGATGACGCCATTTGAGCTGGTATACGGGCGTAAACCCCCGACATTGATCAACTATTCGGAGGGGAGTACATTCAACGATGAGGTTGGTCGAGAGCTCAAGGAACGAGACCTGATGTTGCGAGAGTTGAAAAATCTCAAAGGCTCGATTAATCGGACCAAGTCCTTCGCAGGTGGGAAGAGGCGTGAGGAAAATTTTGTACCAGGAGAGTACGTCTATCTGAAGCTACGACCATTCAGACAACGCACAACAGCACAAAGGGCCGCAACTAAGCTGGGCGTTCACTATTATGGGTTGTATCAGATTCTGAAGCGCATTGGTCAGGTAGCTTATCGTCTAGAGCTACCAGAAAGTTCATAGATCCATCTGGTTATACATGTCTCACAACTCAAAATAAGTCTAGGAGAAGCATAGAAGTATTGTGAGGAGTTACCAGCCACTGCAACTGATGGGAGGATCATCGTGCACCCGAAACGGGCAATTGAATATCACAAGGTAAGAAAAGCAGGACGCTATCGTTGGGAAGTACTAGTTGATTGGAAAGAATTGCCACCCGAAGAAGCCACCTGGGAAGATCTTGTTGAGATGTGCGATCAATTCCCGAATTTCATCCTTGAGGACAAGGATTCACTTGAAGGGGACGGGAATGATGCGGAAGTGGCTAGGCAGCTCAAGAACGCAGCGAGCCGGGCATATCACGCACGCAAGAGGTTGGCTCGAGAGATGGCAGAAGTACGCGCACTGGAGTGTAGTGCGCGCGGAACGAGCGAAGGAAGACTGCACGAGGATGTGCGAGTGATGTACGCGGACGGCGTGCGTGGGCAGAACGCGGGTAGCGCGGGGTTAACTGGCGCCCACGCGGAAAGGTTGGGCGAAGGGGCCTCACGCGCAGCGGACGAGGCCTCATGCCTCGAGGCATGCGGGAAGGCAGGACAGCACGCGCGTGGGGGAGCAGCCGGAAGCAAAGATGTGCGCGGCACGCTGGGCGGGGCAGGACGCGCGGGACGCGAAGCCGCAGTCCTTGAGGACTGCGGTATGGTGGGTGACACCCTCGCAAGGGCGGCGCGATGGGCGCTAGAGTGCGCCGCACGACGGATGACGATCCACGCGCGAAGGGCGGTGCCCTAGTCCTCGAGGACTAGGGCGTGGGCTAAGGCGGTGCGCGTATGAAGGGCCGAAGTGAGGCGGTTACACGCATAAGAGAGAGAGAGAGAGAGAAATGGATTACTTGGAGTGCACACCAAAAGATTTAGTTTCCATCTAGCATTATAATTTATAGCTTAATTAGGACACTTTATATTTTATTGCTTTCTTAGAGTTATAGTTATATTAGGATTAGATCTATTTAGTGCCTATATAAAGGACCATCCCCTATGTTATTTTTCATCATTCAAGAAATCAATAGAAATCTAGAACTTTGTTCTTCCAACTTTGCTTTAGTCTTTTCACCAAAATACTACTGCAATTTTATGCGTTTCAATAGGCGCGGTTGTGGCTAGAGAAACACTATCGGCGATTCAAGGCGCGGTTAGCGGCTTATCGGCAATCGAAACACACGATCCTCATCAACCAGGCCCGACAGACAGACAGTAATCCAAATGGACCAGACCATTTTTAAAATTCACTCGACCGATTGACTTAAAATTTTTACACATAGAAATAGACTCAGAAAGACATATTTTCACCAAGTTGTATACTCAAGACCTCAGTTTAACCTGAGCAACCAATTTTTACGAAAGGCGATGCAAATCAGAATTTTCTAGTTCACCGAGCAATCCTTTGAATTTTTCAATAAAATTTGGACACAAGGCATATAACACCAGGTTCATGAAACTCACCAAAAATCACAGCAAAATACCAAGAATTCGAATTTTAATGATTTTTCAAAGTTTCTGCCCAGAAATTCAAATTGACATTTGACTTAGCTACAGACATCATTTCGACTTGAAATTTTTACACCACATAACATACTAAAAGAAGGTCATACAGTTCAAGTTGCACAACAATCGGACGAACACACGATTTATGATTATTTTTGTAAAAATCAGCAGCAACTCCAGATTCAAAAATACATATATGACCACATACTCAATAAAAACGTCTAAGGCCTTCACCATGAGGCTAAAGACTCATAAATGTTTCATAGTCATAGCCCTAACACGATTTTAACAAGGATTCATCAAGAACACACTAATGTTCCTTCAAACATGAATAACAATGTAGTTCGGAGGCTTATTTCCTCGAAAAAAAATAAAGCTCTAGATGACCGAGCACCCTTAATCATTTTAAGAACCTGTTTTAACCCTATATTACTCATGATTTATAAGGATTTTTAAGCTCAAGAACTCGGCCTAAACATGCATGCAACGAAAAATACGATTTTAAGGCTTTAAGCTTCAAAAATCCAATTTTCTCATTCTACCCGAGAAAAACTTGATTTCTCTACATGATAAATCTTAAAATATCATATTATAGCTAGGATTAAAATATAGCATGAGCTAACCTTCACCGAAGTCGAAAATGAGACTCAAGCCCTTGACTCGGGTCTCCTCGGGTCGCTATAGGCCGTGAGTTGACTCGGTGGCCTTTGGTTGGGGATGATGGCCTCTCTAAACTCCTTATACTCCCAGAGATGATATGAACTTAGCTTGGTGCAGCAAAACTGTTGGTGTTATATACTTAAGCTTTGCTTTAGTGGATATTACACTTGTTATTTCTTGATGAATGAGAATTATGTTTGGTTAAATAAGTTCCACGTTCTGTTGTTTTGCATGTAGATAAGTGGGTTTTCATCGGGCGTACCGAAGATCACTATATCAGTTACTTGCAAAACAAGAATCATTGGTTCACAACCTAGATGGAATTGAACAACCGATCGGAACGGTTGTAGTGTCAACCGTACGGTTTGTCTTGACCGATTAGTTGCACTAGTACATTTATGTATTGAACAGGATCCCAGAGAGGGATGTTCGTATTATACTGATCGTCGTAAACGAACTAGGCCTCAGTTAATTATTGAGTGCTCTTAACCCGTAAGATATTAAATAGGCATGTGCACATAATTGTTGTTGCTTTGATTCTTTGGGTGGGATCCAAGCCGGGTCGACATACTTAATGAATTGGGTAATGACATTATGTGTTTGATGTGCTATTAGGATATTTACGGTCACCATGTGCGTTAGTCTGATGATGTCCCCGAAGTGAGTTCATGAAGGAATATTATGCTAAACCCTGCAGGTGGATTTATTCCGACATAATATGAATGCTATGAGCGAGCGCTAGCTTCGGTAATATAATATATTAATTAATTCTTGATTATCAGTGATCGAATTAATTAATGGACATTATATCTTAAACATGGGGAGGTAAATCGGATAATTATAATGAGTCTTAAATGTAATTTGGGATAGGTGAAGGGAGTGCAATAATATTATTGTGGTGGACTTTAATATTATTAATATATTAATTGTGGGGTTGCTCCACATTATTAATATATTAGAAGCCCTTATTCTATTCTCCTTAGGGTCCCTACTGTAGCTCTATATATACAGCATTAGGCTCTTGGAAGAGAACACACAATCCCATAACCTAAAAAACACGTCCGCCCCCTCTCTCTCTCTCTCTTCCAAGGAGTTGTTCTATTTCTTGTGCTCC